CAAGCCCTGCACCCTAGCAGTAGAGGTTTGCAGGTAGTTGGCAGTTTCACTTCTCTGGAGATTTTGTAGACATGGACTTTGCTTTTTATCTGCTTGTCTTTATTAGCTAGTTTTGCAATCTAGTTTCAAACTTGCCTCAATTCCTCAAAAAAAAAAAAATACATGAAAAGTTCTGAAACAAAGAATGATTTCAAAATCAAGCCCCAAACTGCTCCAGCTTTTTACAAGACTGGTCTGACAGAACACTTGAAAATGAACCAGGTATGCTCCTATGGCTTGAAAATGTTCCCTAGGTTGAACATTTTCAAGCAATGTTTCCTACTGCTTGATTTTTTTCCATTTGCTCAATCTGAATGTTAGATTATCTCAGGTGAACTGAAAAATGAGGAATTTGCAGAGAAAACATAGAAATGAAATTTCATTAAAAATGACTCAGTTACACATTCTTGGGCAATTATAAACGTGTCAGCATCACTGTGCAGAGGTTATACATCAGCAGGGAATTGCTGTATCATCTTGCAAACTATTTCATCAGTGAGGAAAATTCTCCACATTGTAAAATGAAGTTTATAGATGGTCACCAGTGAAATAGATTTCAAAATAAGCAGTAGTTCCTAGCTAGTCACACAAAATAACTTTGGAAAAAGTAATAGTGACAGGACGAAAGTGATGGCTAATAATCTTGAGCCAAGAGCTTTGTCCAGGAAGTTTTAGAGCAGGGAAGGCAAAAGGTTTTTCAACCAAGCCTAAAAAAATTAGAAGCACATTTATCTACCACTGTTATATTCCTGGATGGGTTCTCATGGTTGCCTTGATCAGCAAAGACATTCAGAAGATCATTTGAAAACAATGAGCAATTTGGAAAAAATCTCGTTTCTGAAAAATCAGTGAAGACAACCTAGGAAGCTTGTAGTTTTTATACAATAATGTTTTTCACTGCTCTTAGTAGATGTTATATCAGCAATTGTTTTAGTAAAGTGTATGTTATCACTGAAAAGCCACCATTTTCTCTAATACCCAATTTAAAATATACTTTCAAGATTCATCTGCAAGTTTCACCCACCCAGCTTTTTAACTGTCAGTGGTTTTGCTTTTATTTTTGCATCAAGTTTGCCCAACATAAGCCATGTCAATTTTGAACAAACACTGTCACAGTAGTTTTTCCCCCATTATACACAGATGAAACACAGTTAAACTTACCGTCTTAAAATATTCTGCTAATTCATCTGGGTTCCACGTAGCCACCTCTGAACGGTAGGGAATGTTTCGTGGATCCATGGTAAATTTGCTCCTCCGGGCAGTTAGAGAATGCTCATGCCAGTGCTATCGATGAAGCAGCCATATATTCCGTGTGGGTGACCACCTCCAGCAAGCTGAGTAAGTCCTTGCCTAATATCCAACTCTTTCCAAGTTCTGTTTTTAATTTTTCTTCTTATTATTTTTTTTTTAATTTCAGAACAACGTTGCTAGCACATCCAAGAGAGATATTGCTTCCTCTAGTACAAAATGGTCTCTTCTCAGAAAAGTTGTCAGCTAGACAGCCTTACCACTTCCTTTGTCTGAATATAAATAAGTAAATAAGGAAGCGCAGCAACACGTTGAAAATGCTTTGCCTCCTACATATAAGTAAGCTCCCACAGACCCTATTTGCTTGTAATTGCATACATAAATATTTGCATATTTACACACTCTATACAGTATAAAAATGTTGGCAAAATAGCTGCACAGATCGTCACTGCTGCTATGCAAGCCTAGCCCTGGCAAGACCCCCAAAACAAGGAAATGTTCACTTACTTCTTCAATGTATCTCAGTACCTGAAGTGTTCCGTTGCCTTTCTCTGATTTGTACAACCATAAAAGGTTATTGTTGGAGTTGACCATGAATTGGAAATGAAATTAGAGTCAGCATTTTTCAGTCCCTCAAATTTGGGATGATTATTTCTAATTGAAACTAAAGATTGGACAAAATTAGATGAAAAATTATTATATTGTCATCATTTCTCCCTCCAGCTCTGTTTTTCAGATACCTCTGATGAGTACTTTGTGTCTGAAAAAGAATCCACATAACTGTAATCACCAGAGGGACATTATATACACTGAATGTGTAGCCAATTCATGTATTATCTATTCAGTAAGTTGGTGAGACTTCACTTAGCAATTCCCAATGTACCCGTTTGTTTGAGGTGGTACTTTTTGTTTGTTTGTTTGTTTGTTTAAAAAAAAAAGCAGCCTGTCCATTCTCCGTTTTCTTGATGTGGAGCTTCCTACCAATGTTGTGCTGCTGTGAATGCTTGGGATCACTATTCACAGCTGCTCCAGTAGACTGGACAAAAGATGGTGTTTAGTGAACTTTCTGTATTGGAAAGAATATGTTTATAGTTCTGAAGTTCAGAAGCACTGGAAAGAGAAATTTCTCTTTCTAATGAAATTATGATTCCTGCTATTTCTAGTCCTTCTAATATTGCATCCAAAATTTTCAAGTTCGTTACATACAGCTTCAAGTCTCTACAGTATAAGTGTGGTTTTTTTTCGTTTGAAATTCATAGTCTGCTTTAAAGTAGCTTACCTTTTTCAGGACAATTATTTTGGGAAATTATGGAAGCAAGTTATTCAAAATTCTCCATAAGTAAACCACTGCAACAGCTGTTCTCAATGGTGTGGTATTTATCAAATACATGATATAGCTGTGTTCTGTTGATTCTTACTTTAGTAACCGACCATTATAAATCATCTGAGGCATATGCATACATTGTCACAGAAATATCATCATCGCATCATTTTAAATCTAGATCTGGGGAAGAAATAGGATTAAATTAACATGTGACAAAAGATCTGCAAACTAAAAGTAGTTTTGATGGTGTATCTTCAACAGTTGTAAAGATAAGATTAAATAGTGTACATCTCGGACTCTGTATCACACACCATGTCTTTTAACAGAGAAACAAGTTTCTTTTACTGCAGAGACAGGAAGAAGACAGTGTTACAATTTCTAACCATTCATTCTATTACAGCTTTTTGTTATCTTCCATGTGGTTCTGGAATCCAATTTCCATCCCAAATCCAGCATAATAGCTAATATCAACTATGTTATACCTTATTTGTACTATTATAAAACTAACTAGCCCTGTCAAAATTTATTTCATGTTGTTGAAGAAACACAGCACCATTTATTCTGATGCTGAGAGAAGAGAAAATCAGTTGTCTTTAAGGTCAAACTCCTAGTTTAGAGAGCCACATTTATCTCATCATTGTTATTTTGCTCGGATCCCTTGTATGTCGTTGTACATACATTATGCATGCATATTTCATGCATTTTGCAAAACCCAACTGTACACGTAACTGAGCTTTCTCTTTGTCTAGAACTTCTTTTTGTAATGTGATAAAAACATAGGATGTGGTGGCCATGTCAGGCTTGCTGAGGAAACATAACTTTGAATTTTCTGCATTTGAATTTTCAGATATATTGCTAGATTACTGTAACAATTTTAAATTGTATTTCCAACTTGTATGTATTTGAACATTTCAATGGAAAATGTTGCCCAACTCCCAAATAAGCATGGGTAAGTCACAGCCCCCATCCCAACCAAGAGCCTGAATGTTGTTGTTTTAAAGGATGCTCTTAATTGCCTTTCTCTTCGGCCCAGAAATTCAACGTAGCAAATCCCACATTTCACAAAGTGAAATCTTGATCCTGGAAAAAAAATACTTCACTTCCTCACTCTTTCGATTCTTCCTGTATTTACTTTTCTACTATTTCTCCACTTGTTTATTATTTCTCTTTCTCTCCTCAGAGTCACAGCTGTTACCTTTAGAATTGGGACTTTCTAAGAGTGTCCCTGTTGCCTCCATTGTCCTCTGCACAGAGGGAGGCAATTCCAAAACTGGTGGCCACTAAGAGAGGAAACTGAAAGAAAATGTTGAATGTCCACATTTGTAGAAGTGCACATGCTAGAATCTCTAGTCAGATCTGGGTAGGAGTGCAAGGGAGGATGTCAGGGAAGCAGCCACATCTGATTTTTATAGAGGTAGACAGAATGACTGCAAAGACAGCATAAGGGTTGTTGAGCATATAACCAAGAGGCAAGGCCACAGAGAGCTCCTAGGAAAGTATCTCATGTTTTACAGGCTACACGCAGAAATTTGATTGATAACTAACTACATTTCAGAGGTGACGATCTTCACTGTCTGCTGGAAATGATCACGTTTGAATCTTAGTCATTAAATCGTAAATTAAATTGCAAGAGAAGACAGAAATGAAAACACAATTAAGTGGTAGCAAAAGGTACATCTGTTCCATAATTTGTATACTTTGTTGTATGTTTCAGATGGCAATCTTACATGAAATGGATTTTAAGCTCTTAGATTTTCAAATGTTGAGAAACACTGTTGTTACAGCTGTTATCAGGTGCATACCTATTCCATTTTGACCTTTTTTCACTCTTTTTAAAGAATAAGGTCTTTTATAGTTAACGCCTGCGGTGACACAACCTTCACATAAAAAAACGTACCTCTTCAAATAAGAGCTGTCAATGGAACACTTCTTTCAGATGTAGCGATAGTCTGGTAACTTACATCTGAAAATGTGAGAATCTAACCATTGCAGGCAGCGCAGGAGGGAAATTTACACTGCCCACATTCTGCTGCCTTCAAAGAGCTTAAATATTTTCCATTTCTCTCATCTCTGGTGGTGTTCTGTCCCACAGCAGCTTGCTTTAAGTGGAATCAAGGGCTTACTTTGAACAGTTTTCAAAATAGTTTATTTTTCTAGAAAAACTCAGTTTACTTGTCAATCTTCCTAGCATCAAGCAAAATAAAATTTTTCATCAAGCAAAATTTCATATGGATTTGGTCCTCATGTTCCCAAAGCACAGTGGATTTTATAACATTTTGCTTTTGTCCTGTCCAATCTTGATTTTAAAAGTATACTTTCTTGAAAAAAAAAAACAAAAAAACAAAAAAACAAAAAAAAAAAAAAAACAAAAACAACCTTTTCTGTAAGCTACATTCTTTTATCCTAAGAATATTTACCATTGCCAGCCTAAATTTCCTCTTTAACATTACAAAATCATACACCCAGGCTGTAACATGGAAAAATGCTTTGGTTTTATACCCTTTAAAAATCACCACTGTACATGTATTGTTATATATTCCCTGCTGTCTTTAATGATCACCGAGTTGCACTTTTTACTCCTCAAATCTCCATTATTTCCTTAAATATTAGAGTCAAGTTTTAACCTTGAGTTCCCTCTATCTGTGCATTAATAGCAGACCCAACCCGAGTCTTTCCAAATTAACAAAACCCGTCTCTTTTGTAGGGATGGAACGACGAGCCTTCCTCCCCACCTAGTGGCTAAGTCTCAGACCAACACAAAACACGAGTAAGTAGTGACTGCAGTTCTCAAGCACAATGAACTGCTGGCATCGTACAAATGTGATGTTTGCGTTATAAATATGACACCTCAGTGGGGATGGCAGTCTAGGGGCATACTAACCCACCTGCTTGCATCGAAAGTGTAAGGTTTGAATAAAACTATGTCTGAGATTGCCAGTGAATTGTGTTAATTTGAGTAGGTGGAAATTTACATTCAGGCAATTTAGAAATGCCTGAAATCCTAAAATACAACCACTAGAGTGCAGCTAAACTCTATTCAGAAAACAGAAAGATACATACAAATGCATACTAAGGTACTGGGGAAAAAAAAAAAAAAAGTAATTAGTGATATGGCAGCAATAATTCTGTGTTTTGTTTCATTTTGTTTTGTTTTGTTTTGTTTTCCAGGTAAATATTGTGTTCCACTATGTTACGGTCATAAGTGGCATAATGTGTCTAATTAAAAAAAAAAAAAAAAAAAGATGCAGAGGAGAACAACAGACCTTAGGAAATATCTATTGAAAAAAAAAAAAAAAGATGGAAAAAAAAATAATCTTTTACTTAGTCTGGGAAAGGAAAGTTGGATAAAAGGGGAGGAAAAGGGACATAGGGACTTTGGGCAATAGCAATCAGCTGTCCTCATGACCTTTGGATGTGAAAGGTTCTGCTAACAAGAAAACCATCTGCAAACTTGAAAAGTAGGTGTTCTAGATTGAAGAGCTCTCCTGCGCTGTGTTTGGACTGTACAATACAATTCATAAACTGCCCAACAACACCAGCTGTACTGGGACTCAGAAGAAAATTAAGTGGGTCAATAGAATAAATGGAAATGAGTTTAGCAATGTGTCTTTTGGATACAGACCTGTACCAGCAAACAAACAGGTTTTCTAATTGAAGATGCAGGTTTGACATTGATTGACATTGGAGTTACTTGCCCACATGCCCCTGAAGAGCTGAGAAGAGCTGAAGCAAAGTGGAAGGTGCTGTGACATGAGCAGCAGTGTACAGAAGATGTTGCAGTGGCCACCAGTGGAGTGGCAAATGAAAAGTGTCCACCTCAGAATGGTGGAAAAATGAGTTCCTAAAGCATGCCTTATAGGATGATAAGGCTTTTGGCTTTTTTTTTTTTTTTTTTTTTTTTTAATTTATGGCTTTGAGAAGAACTTCCAGCAGTGCAAATGCAATGGAAACAATGGAAAAGACCTGTACAAACCACGGCAAGGGTTTGTCTGCGGTACTCACATTTGTCTGGGACTGGAAATCTGTATCCAGGGGTTATCCTTAGGTGGCGCCGAAGCCCGAGATATTCACATTCAGCGCTTGTGTAGGAGACTCTTCCATCCTTCCTCCTTTCCTTTCCTTCTTCCTTTTTCTTTTTTTCTTTTTTTTTTTTCTTTTTTTTAAATTTTTTTTTCTTTTTCTTCTTTTTTTCTTTTTCTTTTTCTTTTTCTTTTTCTTTCTTCTTCTTTCTTTCTTTCTTTTTATTACATGCTTGTTTTCAAAAATAGAAAAAACCTTTTCTGTCAGTGATAACTGTACAGTATAAAAAAATAATTTTATTTTCTCAAAGACTTTTTAAAATATATTTAAATTTATCCAATTATTCTAACAGCTAAATATATGATGATTAACTCAGCCTATTTGGTATTTATATAAGATAAACTATTGACAGCAATAGAGATTATTGGCTCCAGACAAGAAGTTATTTTCTTGCCCTAAACAAAGCTAACTTTACAGAACATGCAGAGTTTCCACTGTTTTCAGCTCAGCTCAGCTCAATTTAGTATTGAATCCCAGCCATTGTACCCATCACAGGAAAGGCTTGACAACCCAATTAAGAAGCAAAGAACTGCAGTTAAATTCAGTCAAAATCTGAAGTGAATGTTGCAATTGCAGAACATCCTGTCCATACACAGACTCAAAACTGTATTCCAATCCTGGAATATGTAAAATCCTATAAATATTGAAGCAGCTCACTGAAGTAGTGATTTTGTAATGCTGAAAAAAGAAAAAAAGATTCATGTGCTGATATGCTGGTATGTGTTTATTTCAGACTGTTATGGGAACATTTTTGTGAAACCTAAAAGTTTCCTGAAAGTTGATTTCATACCTGTACTTGTGAGACCATTTTGATGAAAATGATATTTCGGCTTCTTGGTTACATCTGCAATGCAATGGGGCTATTCAGACATTCCTTCACCCCTGCAGTGTCCTGAGCAGACAGAGCAATAAGCTGGGACTCACAAGAGATGTGTATCATTCTGATCTTTGCTGCACACATTTTTTCCTTGCAAGGCTGAGAAGACACCATTCCATGGATGCCAGAACATTTCTTCCTCTACAGATTTCCTGAAGGCTTTTGAACCAGAAGTTTAGATATATCTTGACCAGCATGGTCTGGAGGCACAGATGCCTAGGAGAAACAAAGAGCTGCTGCTAACCAATATAGTCTTGTGTATAATTTTGGGTTTAGTGTTACTTTCGTTTTCAGTATTAATATTCATTTCTATGAGTGGCTCAGACTTTCCAAACAGCTGAATTCTTGAACACCCCTTGCTTTTCAGCTTTTGAGTGTCACCTTATACTCAAAATAAGGTATGTTCAAAATAAGAGATTTTTTTCCTGATGAATCATCTTGCATGTATTCTAATCTGTACTCATGCATATGTTACTACGAATTGATTAGAAGCTGTCCTTTTTAATCCTCTGGCTCATTATGATGGAGAATCAGCACAGATCAAAAGTAATTATTTGGGGCAATCCTGATCAGTTAGGTCTCTCATCCCAAATACAGGATAAAGAAACAGCAATGCTTCTTTTGGATCTCACCTTGCTGCTTTTTGGTGCAAGGCAAATAGATACTGTCACTGGGGTCAGGGCTGTCCATTGCCCAGACCAGCATAGGGATGGGATTTGGGTTTCTTTCACTGGAACTTTGGGGCTACATTGAAGTAAAGCTCTAAACCTCAGAAGAAAGACTCATGACTGCTGAACTTTCACACACCCTTCAGGACAGCATTAGCTGGTCCTACAGCTGCAAGACATGGTCCACTCCCAGGTCTCTGGGTTCCGTATTTGTGCTGCTTCTGTTTTTGCTGGCATAAGCATTGTTGCAACCTCATGTGGAAGTAGGATCAAGGATTCGGTTGTGTCAGCTAATCTAACAAAAATAGTCATTAAATGGTTAGTTTCAGACTGTAGCTCTTCCCTGATATGGCTTTGCTGTACGGCTATGCAACTCATGCCTGCACAGAGTAGGAGGGGTAGCATAGCAGGAAAAATGCTTGGTGTGGATCTTTGGGTTGTCTGGGCTGAAACTTTAGGCAGTAATGCCAGTTCAAACTGTACATTAAATTACAACATAAGTAAAGCATATCATTCAGAAAAAAATAATAATAATTAAAAAAAATTTTTGAAAACTTCTTCATTTTAATTGTATAGTTAATCTCATTTCACTATCTTCATCTGGCTGATGGGGCAAGTTCTATTTATTGTGTAGGGCTTAAAATTACAGAATTAAAATCCTGTTTTCCATAGAAAGTTGAGCACTTATTTAGGTGTGTTTTACTATTTCACTGTTAGCCTTTGTTTAACACTGTTAGTTTAACAGGTTGCAGAATTTAGACTTTAGTTTCAGATAGTTTTATCATAAATGACTTATAAATAATATGATCTGTGAAAGTGAAAGAGAGCTGAAGGCAGACACCAAAGTGTTTGAACTGTCTGCTACTTTAACAGTAAGTGCTGAAAGTTTCATATAACTGTCTATTTTTAACTATTCAACAAGCTCCCGTGTGTTTCTCATTCCATATCACTTTTAAGTTATTCAGGTTCAGTAGAGAATATTCTACTCAGTAGAGAACATTCTGCATGACTGCTGGAACTGGCTCTATGATACTAAGCCTATGAAATATTAGAACTGCTCGTTATTATACATATATTTGTTATTATCATTGTTGTTGTTGTTTGCTATAGAAAGGCAATTTGTCACTGATCTTAGATTACGTGAACAGATTCGCTTTCTTAGTGTCCATATTGCCATCCTACTGGGTATTTTGCTCACCAAAATGGGCTGTGATTAAGTTCTTGTGATTCCAAAAGTCTCATATTTATTTCTGGCCTACATGCTCTTGGCTTGCAGGAGTTCAGACACAAGAAGCTGTTTTGCCTTCAGTGGTAGCAGCTCTTCATCCTAAACCCTTCTTACTGGTTATATCATATAGGTTTGATTGTCTTCTGCTTTCACTCTGTGCTACTGTATTCAGACTGTCCACTAGCACAAAAGTTAAAGAGAAGGCAAACAAACCCCGTGTGCTTGCAGTTTTCTGTACAGGGAGTTGCTGTTATGGTACAGTATACATGAGCACGTAGATCTTCCAGACCATTATATCGCTCACAAATTGACCTTGCTTGTGAGGTAGCGTGTCTGGATGAGGAAGTAGAGTATATCAGTATATCAGGAGACCGCAAGCACCTGCTCTGCTAGCAGAAATCTCTCTTGTATACTTTATACAAAAGGCTTGGCCCTACTTTTCACCTGATTCTCACTTAGAGAATTTCTGTCCTGGTATCACTTAAAAATGGTTGTCTGCATCATACGTCCCCGTGTGTCAGAGCACTGAGGGCACTGACGGGCAGTAACAGGCACTGTTGGCCCTGACCAGCTTCACCTGGGGCCTCCACTCATGCCCTGCCCATGGCTGGAGGCTGTATTTAAGCTCAGCTCAGGAATCTTTCAAGTTATTTGTTACTGAAGCTTCTAAGGGTCTCTCTAAAGACCTCTTCAAAGATGTCTTTTTATATAAGGTAATTTTTGCTTTTTAGGGAAATTTTGTTTTTGAGATTCAATTTGGGCTTTCTGTTCTGTATTGTACCAAGTCAGAGGCTTAATATGGTACTTAAGTGGGGGTTGATTAATGCAGCGATTGCTTTACTTCTTTTCATTTAAAGACAAAGTGTGCTCTGTGCTCTTATTTAGGTCACCATTTTACTTTAGGATAGTCTTGAATAGTAGTGACTTTTCCCAATAATGGTGGCTTCTGGAGGACGGACTTGAGGGTAAGTTCCCTGATGCTGTTATTAACTGTATGTGGGACTACCATGTGCTTGTTCTTCCTCAGAATTTGCTCTATTTTACAGAATTGTAGGGGTTAGAAGGGACCTCAAGAGATCATTGGGTCCAGCCCCCCTGCCAAAGCAGGTTCTCTAGGGCAGGTTACCCAGGTAGGCAGCCAGACAGACCTTGAATGTCTCCAGAGAAGGAGGCTCCACAACCTCCCTGGGCAGCCTGTCCTAGTGCTCCATCACCCTCACCGTAAAGAAGTTCTTTCTCATGTTGGTGTGGAACTTCCTGGGCTCTATCTTGTGGCCATTGTCCCTTGTCCTGTCCCCACAAACCACTGAAGAGGTTGGACAAGTCCTGCTGTCTCCTACGCTTAAGCTATTTGTAAACATTGATAAGATCCCCTCTCAGTCTTCTTTTCTCGAGGCTGAACAGACCCAGGTCTCTCAGCCTTTCCTCATAGGGGAGATGCTCCAGGCCATGTATCATCTTTGTGGCCCTCTGCTGGACTCTTTCCAGAAGAAAATTTAATGGTGTGATGAATTCCTTTGGAGATAAGATAGGGTAAGAAGATGGAGGGAAGATAGCTACAAAGCTATACAAATTTGGTTCTTTGCAGTGCAAAATGCATAAAAACTATATGGGAGAGCAACAACAAAGTTGAACTGTGCATCTTATGTAGTTAGCTGTGTGCAGGTACATGCTGGCAGTGGTACTCCAAGGATAAATCTAAAACCTTTCCTTAAACATAAGTAAAGCTTCTGAAGTGTATTTGTCCTGTTAAATGTAACTCTGACTGCGTTTGGGGCCCTCTCTTTCTGTGTAGCTAATAGAGATTTTTTTCCCCATCATTGTGTTCTTCCATGGCATCAGACTTGCTTTTATGCTTTAATGTATTCTGAGGTATGGGTGCAGCCCTCCAGAGGTTATCTGGTGAACTGATAGTTTTTATCCTAATCCAACTGAGGTAAAATTGCTATTGATCACCATCAAGTTCTGTAAGGAGAGTAACATTTTGCTAAGCCTCCTGGAGGTGATCGGGATAGCAATCTTGAATTTATCTGGCTCAGATGTCGTTTCTAAAATAAAATTGTTACTATTTATGTGGAGATATGTATCTATAAATAGGAGGAAAGAGGGGATAACTTCCCTGGCATGTATCCCATGTAAACAACTTGTTAGGCTATGTGACTGTACTGCTCAAATAAGCAGCAGCCAGTTGCTGCCTGCTTTTGGATGATGTTGAGAATCTCATGGACAGTGTAGCTCCAGAATGAGCTTTGGCTGCCTGTGTTAGTGGCTGGATTGGTTAACCAGAAAAGCAATTTGTACAAAGGGACCTTAGGTTCCTGTTGGGTGCTCAACACCAATTGGAGCTGTATCAATACTACATCTTTTTTGATGAAGCTGCACATACAATTGTATTTGGTTTGGAGAAACGTATGTATTATATATTAATAAAAATCAGTGCTCTCTAGTTATTTAAGATTTGGGCTTAAATAAAAATGAGGGCATGAAAGGCTCCTCTTGTCTGCCCCTCAGATCTACTGTGGGATGAGATGGTCCAGCCTAAAGTCAAGTGCAAAGCAGCAGGTTGGGTGAAGTCCAGAAAAATGCAATTTGTTGGAACCTTGATAACATTGGGAATACTGGATTTAAAAAGCACTGTGAAGCTTTACATGCAAGCTTCTTATAGGTAATATAAAAACATAAAAAATTCAGAAGTGTAGCCAGAGTCACAGGTTGCAAGGATAAGAAAATCAAAGCAATTCTGAGACAAATGTCTGCAGAATCATGAGCAGAAAGAAAAAAGAGCATTAACTGTTTTCTCAGGTGGTGTGAATCAGTCCCAGGTGGGAATCTAGAAAGGGAAGGCTGGAGGGGAAGGGAAAAAAAGTTGATTATAGGCATTCATTTTACTGCAGTACTTGTTGGATGAGATGCAAGGCAATTTTGTTATATTTCAAATGGGTTCAGGCTCTGGGAGAAGGTATTGCTTACAATGAGATGATACCTGTGATTTTTCCGGAAAGAAAGCCCAACTGGTAGCTGTTAATCCTGTAATTTCAGCTATGGGAGCAATTTTACCATGGTTACAATGTGTTTTAAGGTAAATATTTTTATTTATGAAAAAATAGTAGGCAAGCTAAAACCATGGGTAGGGCTGGGAAAGAATTCAAATCATGCTTTAAGCACAGTGCTTTCTGAGGCAGAGTTAGTTATATTCATGTCATGAGCTGTGGTATTTCTATTTCCCAGTGTTTATTATAACAGAATTATTCATGAATTTAGATCAAGTCTGAACACAGATTTTTTGACAGAATCATTGTTTTCCCTCTCCCAACCAGGCATATCACCATTTTCCAAACCAAACTGTTGGAAATAAAGCATATGTAGTATAGCATTTTATAACTTAATTATTTCTAAAGATTGTTTTCTGAGAAGCAGTAAGTCACATTCTCTGGTGTTTATAACGAAGAAAGCTAATTTACTGAATAAGCTACTGGTCAGAGATCAGGTGATGGGGAATTTTGCATGGGGAATGTAAATGCCAGTCTAACTGATGTTCTTCATTATACTTTGCCCCTCCAAACTGTGCGTGAGGAGGCCAGATGTCTGAGCTGCAGCAGCAAAGAAAACTGTGCATATTTCCACCTGGACCACAATGACCTTTTGAATCTTCCTTACAACTTTTTCTGACAGTGCTGTTTTGCTGCAACTGAGATGTGGGCATTATTGTACCAACTACTTCCTAAAGGTATGGTTCTTACCCCCATGGAACCTGTGGAAAGATTGTTCAAGAGCAATAGAAACTTCTCAGGATCCAAAGATCTACAAAGGCTACTACCTGATATTTTAGGTGTTTCAGCCTGCTTAGCCATGTTTACATTTGATAGTCCTTGTAATAATTATGAGTATGTAGAGTGAGAAGAGAAAGGAGGCTTTACACCTCACAAATGAGGGGACAAAACTTCAACAAAATTTAACTTTCAAAGAATGACTGGCTATCATCTGTATGAGGTATACATGGCTAAGTTTTGGTAGTGCCTGCAGGGGTGGCTTTTGTGAGATGAGTCCAGAAACTGCCCCATGTTAGAGAAGAGCCAGTTCCAGCTGGCTCCAAAAGGGACCTGCCACTGCCTGGAGCTGAGCCAGTGAGTGATGCTGGCTGTGCATCTGGGAGCATATTTGAGAGAACTGCTGTGCAACAGCAGCTGGAGGGGTGGAACCAGCCCTGCAGCCCCCAAGGTCAGTGCAGAAGGAAGGCAGGAGGTGCTCCAGGCACTGGAGCAGAAGTTCCCCTGCTGCCTGTGGGGTACCACAGAGGAGCAGATCTCCATGGTGCAGCCTTTGGAGGAGCCCCTGGTGGAGTAAGTGATCTGGTGGGAGCTGTCACCTGTGGGGGACCCATGTGCTCCTTAAGGATGGACCCATATGGGAGCAGTTCCTGAACTGCTGCAGCCTGCAGGAAGCCTGCATAGGATCAGCATGGGAGGGACCCCAAGCTGAAGCAGGGGAAAGCAGTGACTGTGAAGGAGCAGCAGGGATGCAGTGTTATGGACTGACTGCAGCCTTCTCTCCCCTGTGCTGCTTGATGGGAGGAGGTAGAAAAGAGTGAATGGGAAGAAGGTGTTTAGCTTCTGTTCAGTTTCTCACTGCTCTAGTCTGTTTGTAATGGGCAATAAATTACATTAATCTCCCCATGTTGAGTCTGTTTTGCCCATGATAGTAATTAGTAAGGGATCTCCCTGTCCTTATCTCAGCCCTTGAGCCCTTTTCCATCATTTTTCCCCCTCTTCCTTTGAGTAGGAGGAGTGAGAGCAGTTGTGGTGGAGTTTAGCTGCCCAGCAGGGTGTAACCACCACCTCATCCTATCTTTCTGTATTAGTGCAAGATCTGCTCCTGTGACATTTCCACTTTGCTGATGGAAATGTGCAGGTGTGGATGAGCTGGAAGGAACTTGGATGCTAGAGGGATGAGCATGGCATAAGAGCCTCTGTATAGCACAGAGTATCACCAAGGTCACACAGTATATAGCAGGGCAGAACCTTTAATCCATGTAGTCTGAGTACCAGTCCTGTGCATTGACTGCAAAGCATCGTTCTCTCAGGGAACAAATAAGCTCTGTAGTCAAATACATCCATGCTAGGCAGAAATAGATGCCTTATCATGGCTTTCTGCCCAAATTAATGTATATTGCTCTACCACAGAGCTAAATTGCTTTAGTATAGTGTCACTACTTCCATTGTGCTGCAGTGATGCACAGCATAAACTGTTTTTATCTGCAACTAGCAAGAAATTTCATCTGGTAGCATGTTATTCCTTATGGGAATTTTGACTTTGTTTTGATTTTGTTTTGAGATTGTCATTCTCACATATGTAGAACTCTTCTGTGAGAGACTAGGCACATCCCAGTGCTTGTGGAGTCAAAATTAAAAAAATTAAAAACAAACAAACAAAAAACCCACCATACCTAAAGATCATATGTATACAGGACTAAAGAAGGGATAAGAACACGGAACAATGACATCTGATATTTGCTTGATTCTGGTATGTGGCTCAGCACTGCTTCACAGCTTTCTGGGCCTTCCTTATACTCATTATCAAAATAAACTGTTATGTACAACAGTAAGAGAAGTGAGGTTACTTTCTCTGTTTTTGTTGAATGTCTTCCAATATTAGTCATCCCTTAGCATAAATCTGAACAATCTTTTTATCTTTACATGAGCCCAGAAGTTGTTCTGCAATGCAGAGGTGTTACTTGGTTAAGCCTATTATTTCCTGCACTGTGATATTGTCCAAAACATATTAAGTCAGAAAGTCCTTTTGCTTATCCTTTAGTAGGAAGGATTCCTTGTATGGTTGCTGTGCGTCCTTTTAGCCCCCTCTAGTGCCTGACTTACGAGGGCAGAAGTAACAACAGTGGCTGTTTTGCTTTTATGTGAAGGTATGGGTACAACTAGTGGAGTTGGAGAAACCAGCTTTGCATAGCCAT